AGATGACAAGAATCTCACATAAACCTGTTTATTTTAAACATAAAAGTAAACTTACACTAAGGAACAAAAATGTTCTTTATACAATTGGAGGTTCGAATTGTCGAAGGTGTTTCTACTGTGGCTCGAAGGATAGCCCCGGGGCAACGGCAGGTGTGGAGATTTGTCAGTCGGTGTTGGCGGTGTTCTGAGTCTAGTCACAGGTTACCAGTTGGGCCCAACTGCTGGAAAACTGCTTTTTCGCTTGGACTAACCGTATGCAGGTGCACAGTTTTTCGGAGTCAAATCTGTCCTTCAAGATCGAGGATTATATCAATCTCCGTTCTTGGTTTTGTTTTCATCTGATTGGTTCCACGTCCCTTTTCTCTCGCTCCCCGATTGGTCTCTCGTCTGTCTCTAAGTGAAAGACGATTCCTATTCGAGTCACCAGAAAGATCCGCTTCGAAGAATCTACTTGACACCATCCGTTATTCTGGATGCAAAATGTTGATGGAACTTTGAAACTTGCACCCATATTTTACACCATTGTTGTCTAGTCTGTGACGTTTTTGAAATTTAACAACCCGATGCGATGTCCCTTTTCGTCATTAACCTTTCCTCTTTTCAAAATTTTTATGTTCGAATTATTTGCATATGAGCGACTTGTTTACAATTATTAATCATTTATAATTATTGCGTTCTGTTTACATCAATAGCGTTTTTTTTTAGTCGCGGTTTCATATGACTAGAACAACTAATTTGATCTTTGATCGATTTTTAACAATAGACGATTTTTTTAGTTTCGTTTTAATAAATTAATAATAATAAATGTTTAATTTCAACTCATCTTTGGGACCTCACAATTTCTATTAAATTGCATATGGACACTGCAGCTGCTTTATAAAAAATAAAAGCAAAATTATTTAACAATATTTTACAGGATTTAAGAATACATATAGTTATTATTCTTATCGCTATAAAGAATATTCTAAATTATTGGGAGTTTTACTTTCAATAAGAAGAAACACAAGAATACGAGAGTTGTTCAAAAAGTTCCCGAACTTTATTTATTACAAAAAAAAAATACTTCACATACAATTTATTTGTTGGGGTCCCCTTCAAAGTAGTCTCCTCTGCAGCATATACACTTCCACTTTTTGAAACAGTCTTGGAACGCTTTTTCCGCAATGCTCATAAGCTCCTCAGTCGTTTTTTTTCTCTCTCTGGAATGGTGGAAAATGTTTTTCCTTCGAGCACGTTTTTTAGTTTGTTGGAGAACAGGAAAAAGTCGCATAGGACCAGCAGGTGAGTGGGGAAGCACAGCGGTCTTGTTTTTGGCCAAAAACTTGTGTGTTCTGAGGGACAAATGAGCCGGCGCGTTGTCATGGTGAAAGAACCACTCGCAGCTCCTCCAAAGTTCAGGCCGTTTTTGCCTGATTTTGTCTCTTAGGAAATTCATAACACCAGGTAGTACTCCGCGTTGACTGTCTGGCCTGTAGGTAGGTATTCGTGATGTACCCCCCCTTTGCATCGAAAAAAGCAGTCAACATCACCTTAACATTTGAGCAAACTTGTCTAGCTTTTTGGGGCGGGGGCTGTTTCACCCATCCGTGGGAAATTTCTGTGAAGGATTTTCCGAGTTTCACACAGAATTTCACAGAACAACGCTGTTCTTTCAAAGAGCTGATTTCTGCGGATCTGATTTTTCGCCGAACCCCACAAATACCACCTCACATAAACGGCTGTAACTAATCACCAAAACAAGATATCAACAAATGGGTTGAAGGAGGTTATTCGGGAGGTTCCGTGGACACAACGCCTCCAAGCGAATTAAAAAATAACCAATTGGAGGCACGCTGTTCAAAATGTTCCCAAACTTTTTGAACAACCCACGTACATTTTCTTTACATTTTAGAATTCACAATAACCATATAAAAAGCAATATATTTTTGTTTATTATATACTGTTGTCCAACAGAAAAGTAAACTATCTTATTTACAAATCTTTTCAAAATAGACAGTTTGACCGTGCCCTAGACATTTGTCTCATTTGTCTATGCGATAATCCGGCCCTGCATACAGACTATATCAGGCAGAAAGCTCGTCAAGTTAGAATCATTGAAATTGGATCTCAGCTTCTCTTTTTAGAAGTCTATGCAATACAGCTAGATTGTCAATACACAGAAATGTAAAAGAGTTCAATATTCTCAGTTTTAAGATAATGCCAAAATTATTAATTATGACAGAGATTGTTACTTGAATTGTGTTTCAACACTATCACATGTACTGTATATTCAATTTAAAAAAACAACCAAAGCCATTTTATCTTATAATCAAGAATTTTAATGCACAAATCACAATTACATTACCTGCTTAACAATACAAAGGACTATCTGTACATTAGTTACACAGCACTTGATGTAAATAAGAACTGGTATCAGCAATTATTGAAATATGGTATTGTGATGAATACATTGGTTTAATATTAGGAATGTAACTGCAAATATAATAAAACTTTTAAATTTCACAACAAGGAGCAAGTTCAATATCTGCATTTATGGCAGATTCAATATACTGCAAGTGCCATATGAGGCACAAGAGTTCTGTTAACTTTTCGAAGAAAGATATGTTGCACTTCATTTACCAAGAATCTGTGATCAGCAAGCACAAGTATCAGTCTTGGGTCTCTGTTCATTTGTTAATTTAATCTGATCTGGGAATTCATTATACAAATCCATTTCACTCTCTTGGGCAATAGCATTTTTTGCTACTGTCTGAAAAGCTTGCTGAACATTAATAGCCTCTTTGGCACTTGTCTCATAATATGGAATGTTGTTCTTGCTCTGACACCAACTTTGAGCTCGCTTGGTTAATACCTGAAATGAAATAAAATTGTTTTAAATGAATTATAGATTAGCATTAATAGTAGTAGCCTAGGTGCAATTATAAAGTATTAACAACATTAAACCAGCACATAACAAAAAAACATTTGTAAATTTTCCTATGTGAAATAGACATCCTCAAGCATTTTAACATAATGTATTCAAATCACAATCAGTTTGAACTTACAAAAACATTTGTAAATGTTTCCTTTTTTCTTGTTATGAGCTGGCGTTGGTTTTATGAGTGATATATTTATACAAATGCAGTTTGAGATATATTAACAACATTTTTAGAAGATTTGCACTTTAAACTTAATGTAACTTAATATAAATCTCAAGTAAGAAATTTAAACTATTTTATCATGTATTACTAGTGGATACCACTAGTAATACATGATAAAATAGTTTAAATTTCTATTATGATAAAGCCAGAGTGAATATAGTTTTCATCCCATGAAAAACAAATCAAAAGTTATAATTTTTTTAAAACATGTTTTATCTTCTTTGTATATGTTACTGTAAATGCTCGGGCTATGGTATATCCTAAGATCTTCCAGTAAAATCTAAGATTCATCAAATCTTTGTGGTAAAAGTCTGAAATGTTCTGCGATCATCGTTAATTTTGAACTTTTATCAGCATTTACTCGGTATATCTTAGGTTTTGCCTCAGACATGGTAAATGTTGAAAAAATAGTCCCCGCTTCCTGCACCGCAGCCTTCACTCGCTACATTCTTTAATTCTTTACATATTACTTCTATGGGGTCAATTGGAAGTTCCCTAAATTTGTTACCATCAACTAATTCTACTAAAAGAAATGGTAAAACCATTATAAAAGATAAAAATTATTATAAATATAAAAATAATATTGAGGAATTACATAATTTTTTACAGAACAATCAACTAGAAATAATCAAAGCAGATAAATCTAAGCAAATAATTATAGTAGAGCAAGAGTAGGTTAAAAAGAAAAAACAAGAATTAGTTGATGGTAACAAATTTAGGGAATTTCCAATTGACCCATATAAGTAATATGTAAAGAATTAAAGAATAAATTACCAAACTGTACAAATTAAAAAGTCTAACTAGGGATGAAAGAGTTCATTCTGAGAGAAGACAATGATCGTACACCGAAAATGAAGACACAACTTAAAACACACAAAGCAGATGAAACTGTCCATCCTATAGAAGATTTCAGAAACACATTATATAATTTGGAAAAAATTTTAAAAACAAACTCAAAAAATGCCAAAATTCTAATTTCCCCATTTACAACACTGATGAACTACTATATGATATTAAACAGATAGATATAAAGGATACGTTCAGAATTGCAAGCTTAAGGCTGTTATACACGTTACGAAAATCCTCAAAGGATGTACGTACTTAAGACAAAAAAAAATCAGATATAACTGGTTGGATCGAACATAGTAATTTACAAAACTTATTAAAATATTTCCCAACGTATAAAGAATTATTTTTATTTAAAGGTGGATAGATAGAAAAAAAAATCATGATTAATCCTCAAAGGATTTGCGTAACATGTATAACAGCCTTTAGATATAATTGATATGTACCCTTCCATAATATGGGAAATAATTGAACCAAAAGTGATACAGCTTAAAATTGAACCTGAGATAATTGACCTAATCGAATTTACCTACAGAAGCAATTACTTTGAAATAGACAATAAATATTATACACAAAATAGTGGGATTAGTATAGGGTTCGTAATAGGACCGAAACTAGCTGAGATCATAATGATAGAGATAGATAAAGAAATAAGTAACATATATGGTATAAAGTTCTCCAAAAGATATGTAGATGACATCCTAATAATATATGATGAGATTGAGATTAACACTGATAAAATCTGAAATATAATAAATAATATCCATAAAAATATTCAATTTAAAATAGAAGAAGATGATAAAAATTATCACCAGCATAAATTATTTAGATATTACAATTAAAAGAAATAATACAAATCTCGAATTCGAACCGTTTAAAAAGCTATGTTCAATAAATACTACAGTTAACTATAATTCTAACATACCTCTTCATATAAAACAAAATATATTTAATATGGAATACACTAAGATCAAAAATAGAACTAGTATAAATACAAAGCAAATCAAACATTTAAATACACTAAAGAAAAAAAATTCATTCTTTCAGGATACCCAAACAGAATTCTTAACACTTGGGAAAAAGAAATAACCAAAAAAATAGATAAAAAAATAAGAATAGATCCTAAACAAACAGACATAAAATACACTCGGTTCCCATACATAAAAGGCTTGTACGTGGAAGTTAATAAAGAAGTCAAAAAATTAATGTAAAACTAGTACAGATATATGATAAGCTACTCTCTAGATTAAGTGCAAAACAATTTAGAAAAACAAATATACCAAAAAAATAAGAAAGCAAAAATGTTGTTTATAAAATTCCATGCACATGTGAAAATACTAAATTCTACATAGATGAAACTAAACGTAAAGTTAAAGTAAGATTGAAAGAACATATAGCCGATTTGAAATATCGAAGACTAAATTCTGCCTTTCACAAACACTGCCTTTTAAATAATTGTAATATTGATAAAAATAATATAGATATTCTACACAGAGAAAAAGATACATATAAAAGAAAATTTAAAGAAAGCACAGAAATAAAAAATCAAAATAGCATAAATAAAAATCCTAGCATCTCCATAAGTGAAAATTGGTTAAAAATTTTATCTTAATTCACCAGCTTCAAAAATGTGTTGTTATTGTAATCACTGTGCTAATTTATAATAATAAATATTGAACTGTTAAATAAATTAACAATANGGAAATATGCAAACACCATCAAGCGCATACTTTACATTAAGTTCACATTGTATCACCAGATACCTTTATAATAATAACTTTTATTTTGAATGTTTTTGTGTTGTTTGGAAATAAACTTACTTACTTTAAAAAACTTTTATTTTTTCAGACTTCTCATCCTTCATATTTTTACTAATCGTAAAAAAGCAAAAAAAGAAAGAAAAAAATAGTAATAGGGGTGCCGTGAATTTTGTTTAATAATTTCAGTGTGCCACCAGATAAAAAAGTTTGAGAAACACTGGTTTATGGTATTGTTTTTGATGCTATAAGATGTCTTTAATCAACAAATAAGTTTTTCTTCAATTATAAATAAATTGAATTAAATGAATATCTCATTTTGCTAGCTAATTAATATCTGAAATTATTGCACAATGCCTTTCCAGCTGTTATTTTTCAATAATATAAAGATTTAACTAGAACTCTAGTAATTGGTATATGGGAGGCCTCAAAAGGGCTGACCAAAATAATGGGGCCCTAAAGCATATTATTAAAGGAAGTAAATGAAAAAACGTACAAGGGACACTTTTGTACAGGGCAATTTGGTACTTTTGACCCCCTCTGGCTGTTCCTATACTCCGTGTACAATACTCCCCCCGACAAGTTTGGTTTCAAATAATCAAACATTTCTAATGAGTAATTGATGGTTCCTTTCCTTTTAATAACAATTTAAATGTTAAAGTATAAGAAATTTAAACCATATATGCAGGGGCAGATCTACATAGGGACTAATAGGGCTTAAGCCAGGCATGGACTACATACGGCCCGTCTAATGAATTTATGCGGCCCGCGATCAATCTTTCAATATTAGCTACTCAAGTCCGAATAGCTCGATGAAAAATTGACGCCTACAAAAAAAGGGTCAACAACTCACTGTGCGTTTAGAGTTAACCCTCCATTACAAATCTCTTAAGTACAGAGTAGAATGTTGATAAAGCATGATAATGTGAAAAATGTACTGTATCTGTAATCTCTACGTACAATTTAGTCTCTACGGAGTGACACCACAATGAGATCTCGCACCACCTCAAAATCTTCCTAGGGCAGCCTTTGGTTTGGCCGGTGAAAAAAGTTTTCTTTCCAATTCGGCCCTGAGGCAAAAACTGTTGGCCACCCCTGGGCCTCAAAACTTAAATTATCATAAATTTTTTAATACTTTTACATTAACAGGGAGCTCTTATCCACAAAGTTTGTCATTCAACACCATTTCATAAATATATTGTATTTCAACTCTGATTTTGATGTCATAAAAATGAATTTTAAACCCCAATTTAAAAATTCTTATCTAACAAAAAATGGGGCCCCATTGACTTCAATAAGCCCTAGCCCTGAAAAACCTAATCCACCCCTGCATATATGCTTTATGACTACAGCACTGAACATAATTTTTGTTTTTGATACAAAGAAATACATTTTAAATATTGATATCAAACATTCCATTATGAATTGATAAAAACAATTCATTATATTTTTAACAACTAGATTATTACTTTTGCATCTATAATAGAAAGCTTTAAATTTAAAACTTTCTTAATAAACTTCTTACTTAAAATTTTTTTTTTTTAACTTTTATAAAATTT